TATATTTTACCATGCCTCCAGCAGACTACCAAACAGAAATATTTGATTTGCATTGTTTACTTTATTCTACTGTCATTCAATACAATTTCAACCAACTAAGCAAGTCCATCCTTGATTGTTTTTTCCTTTTACTACTAAACTGAGGGAATTAAACATGAAAACAGGTCTGGAAGCTTCAGAAGACAACTTTATAGGAATAAATCCTACTTGGGATTTACATGTCGCTCCTGAGCTGTATTTTTACGATGAGCCAAATTAAAACCTTTGATGTCAGCACCTTCTAATATTTTTGCATGGCAAATGTTCCCAAACATAGACCTGTGTAGAAAGTTAAGAAAATACATCCAGAAAAAAAACTCACAAGGTCTCTTACCCACTCTCTGTTCCTAATCAGTCACCCTAAGTGCTGTGTATTCTTAAAAAAAATTTACAGATAGAGATTTTATTTCCATTCTTGTCAATCTACTTAAGATTTAAAACCTTTTATGAGCATGTTTTCCTAACAAGAATGTACGTTGATTATAATTTTTCTTTTAAGTTTCTCATATGAATGAGAAACAAAAAAGTCTACATCTTTCTTGAAGTGCAATACCCAAAATCGGACACAGTATTCATCAGGGACTTACCAATGCAGAGCAGAATACAAACTACCTAAAATGAATAATGTATACCTTCGGTATACTACCAACTAAAAAAGAAAGGCACTTATGAGGAACAGAATTCCTTGAAATATGATGTCCAATGATTAAAAACAGAAGCGTCTCCCAGAAATTATGAGCACATTCTTGTCAATGTTGAATGCTGTGTCCCAGCGCCATAAAAAATTAAGTGTGTACTTAACACACAATATCATTAATTCCTGAGACTTAAGAAATACATTCAGTCTTTGTGTTTTACCCTTATCTGCTACATGAAGTGATTTAAACCTACCTTTCCCTCATAAATACTTGTTTTCTTGCTTTCTGCAGCAATTTTCTTTTTCAGCACTTTATTCTATGAAAATAAAATAAACACTAAATTTTAATAAGTTAATAGAATTATGTAATGATTCAACTGCATAAAGCAGGTTGGAATCCTCAAAAATTCCAGTTTTCAGCAAGCAAATAACTCTTTTTGTTGTTTAATTGTGCAGGTGTGTTGTTTAATTGTTCAGGTTCTGGATCAATTCTCCAAGTAAAAGAGTGCTCAGCTACTTTAATAATACTGTTCTTTATGCTTCATGTCTTATGAAAGGCTCCCTGTGGATGACAACAGAGAATAAAGAAGGAAGGTGCAGGATAGGAAGAAAAATCCAAGATGCGTGGTACCCCCGGCTCTTGTACTATGTAGCTTACACAGAACATAAATTTACTCCTGTGCTATACTATAAAGGAATAACTGATGTAATGATATACTGATTCCAAGCAGATGGCTATTTTTTCTACAGTGGGGCAAATGCTGCTGACAGGAAATGTGCAGAGGTCATCAAAAAAAAACCCAAACAGACATTTCTACATTAGTTATTTAGAGTTTGTCCTAATGTACACTTCTTTTCTACTATTGGTAACTGAGACGGATCATTATTTCAAATATATTGATAATATCATGTGCCAAATAAAAATGATAAAAGTTCATTAGAGATAACATGTCTATAATTGCAGTTTATAAAAGAAGGGATAATTTTACAAATCAAATAATTCCAAAGGCTATTCTTTAATTTGCTCAGAGGTTAGATTATTAAAAAAAAAAAAAAAACACTATAAATTACATAACTACATCTAAATTCATCACACATCACAATTGTTGAATAGTAACAGTAACCACAAAATACTTGTACGTTTTATGGATTTGTGACTTTTTAAAACTTTGCCTACCTCCTGTTGCAGCTCTTCAATACATCTGCTTTTATTTTCCATCTGTTTCTTTACATTATTCAACTAAAAGAGATATTTCAAACATTAATTAATTGCTAAAAAATGACCCAATGTATTAGATATTGCTGTCAAAGTGCTTAAACATGCACATTGCACAAGTTAGATTAATTTGTAAATTAATTAAGTTTGTAAACTTAAAGCTGAACTTAAAAAAGTTTGGAAATTCCATTAAGTTGCAAATGTGCACAAGTTCCATTAATTCCAGTGGGACTGAAATACATGCTAAGATTTTACAATTATTAGGGTTTTAACTACAAAATACTATGAGAATTTTGCTAGCCCAACATCACCAAGACTAATAGTAGTGAAACAGTTTGTCAGCAGTTTTAGAGTTTGGCAAAAACAAAAACAAAACACAACTCAAAAAAAATCTTATTTGAAATACTGAAGTTCTCTACTGTCCATGAAAAAAAGAATATCTATACCTTATTTTCTAGAATCTTCAACTGCTTTTCCTTTCTTGAAATTTCATTTTCAATACTTCTAGTCTGAAATTATAATTGTTTTTAAATCTACTCAAAGTATTACCAGAATCTTTGTACTCTCTTAAAGAAGAAAAAAGTATAATGGCAAAACTGCTATTAATTACCATATTATGATTTCAAAGCATAGTTCCCTCAAAAACGAGAATTAAATTTATCTGTTTTATTTTTATTCGTAAAAAAGAACTAAGCAATCATTCCATGCCCTGAGTATCTTCTTCAAATTTAATTTTACAGTAAAATGTTGAAATCCAGTGTGATGCTAAAGATCTGTGTGAAAATACAGTAAGAAAATAAAAATATTTGAACATAGTTATACTGAAACTCATATTATATATTGAAAGCTAACCCCTATCCCATCCATCTCTAAATGGTACAGGGGAAAGAAAAAAAATATATAACAAATCTGTATTCATAAGCCTCCATGTAAAGAGTAAATATCCTAGTGAAGTCCCTGTCTTTTAAAATGAAAGGGCTCAGCATGTGTACTTATGTTGATTTAATTGGTAATGCCACTAAAAGGAGAAAAATCTCTCTAAAAGATTGCACCTCTAGGTAGGGATTTGCAGGAAATAATAAAAGTTTTACATTTATACTGAGGCCTATAGGTAATGTTGTATTTTTATATGATAAACCACATTACGTGTCATACATTTTCTTCACTTTCATCCAGTTTACTTTTAATCTCTTCACCCTTCTTTGCCATCTTCTCCTTCAAAGACTCTACTTCATTTCTAAATGCCAAATTAGCGAGTATTAGTAAATATTTAAAAACTTCAGATTTCTTTCACTACTGCTAAGAAAATCCATATTTTAGTTTCTTTAAAAAGCTGCTCAGTTACCTACAACTTAATATTCCTGACAGCTTCATAAGCAATTCACTGAAAAGATGCAAGAGTGATTGATAAGTATAAAAAAAAAAAATTACAGGACAGATATTAAGTATGGAAAAATATTCCCATGTCTTGAGTAAAATATATTCTAATCTGTAAGATTGTAAATATCTATGAAATATGGAAGGCTGCTCATTAATGTGGGTGGGGTGAGACAAACACTACTTCAAAGGGTAACATTTAATCAGTTTAATTTTTTCCATATTTAACCCATAACTTCTATTTGCTTTTTATTTTCTTCATAACTAAGATAATCTAAAAAAAGCATTACTAAAAATCACAGAAAACAGCATATAAGCACAACACTAACAGTAACAGTGAAGGAACTGAGACTATTTCTTTAAATAATATTGCCCTTTAATATTTATTTTTACTTGCCTTAACTGGCCATTTGCTTCTTCCAGATTTTCTAACAACTTCTTTGTATTTTCTTCATTTTTTCTATTATCCTAAATAAAGGCACACATAAGTAAAACAATTAAAACTCAAAGTAACAGCTTAAGCAGCATCTCAGCCTAATTTACAAGGGTAACTGCACTTCCTTTTGTATTTTAAACACAAAAAGCAGTTTGCAATATGCCATATGATTTTTATTTTAAATTGAATGTTGTCCTCCAAAAACATATAAAAGTTTACAACTTGCCTCATGACCTTCTTGCAATTTCTTGAGTTCTGCAGCTATATTGCTTTTCTCCTGTGCTATTTGTTCTTTTTCTGATAAAAGCTTATTGAAATCCATTCTTAGTTGCTCATTCCTTAGTCTAATTTAAAATATATGGTCAGAGAAAAAAAAAAGAACATGTATTTCTAAATTTCCTTTTAAGTTCAATTTAACTCTTACAAAAATGCTACTTCACACTGAAGTAAGTCCAGGCCTGTATCTATAAATTCAAGCTTTGCAGGAAACTTAGTACAGAGTAATAGTGATGTGAAGAGGCTCTGGGAGGAGGAGGAAAGAAAACAAGAAGCAACTTTCATATAATGGTTGCTGGAGGGGACCTAGTCCAGCATCCAGCTCAAAGCAGTGTCAACATTTAGAAATACTTTCTCTTGGTGTTAATGCATCCAAGTCGCAGAGATAGGGAACAATTACATACATATAAAGAATGTACTTTATAAATGTAAATATATGTAGGCATAAAGAATGTATTTTATAAATGTAAATATATGTAGGCTGTCATACCATGTGCTAAAGTTCACAATTTTTAGAAAATTATAGATCATTTCATTATATATTAAAGTAATTTCTATGTAATACAAAAATATATTAAACGAATCCAAAATTTTCAGAAAAGATCATACGTACGTCTCTTGTTCAAGATCTGCATTCAGTGTCATAAGCTGTTTTAGATAAGCGTCTTTGTTTTCAACTGTACCAGTCAGCTGTACTTTCAAATCATGTATTTCCTCCTGCAGAAGAAAAAGTGTTGAGTGTACATATGTAAATCACAATTCATGAAAGCTGCCAGAAAGGAACAGACAATACAAAGCTTCAAGATAAAACCACAGACACGCCATAAATTAGCCAGACTGCATCTTTACATCCCTCTAGTGTAATGCAGAAGTGTGAGATACTAAATTCCGACATGAATGTTAAATGTGTCCCCCTGTTGTATAGTCCAAATAACTAGTCTGCAAAAGTACTGACAAAGTTACCTTTCTCTGGCTATTTAAATAGAGATATTGTTGCTCTAGAAATGGTAAGCTTTTGTGTTACTTACATGTTAAAAAAAAAACCACACACACACAGAGCATTCCAGTACTATATGATAGTATAAGCACACATTTTGGATGCATGCTGAACCATGATGCAAAACTCTTCCCTCAGAAATCTGCTGCCATTACAAGAACAGGTAAGCCTTTTAATGTAATGTAGTTTATAATATGTAAATGCTTTAAATACTATTTTGTCTGAATCACTAGTGATACAGTGATATCACATGCACTAGCAGGCAGTTGATTTAAAAGAGACAATGTGTGTGTGTGTGTGTGTGTGTGTGTGCGCGCGCGCGTGCATGTGCGAACAGGCACATGTGCACACGTGTGTGTTTACTTTTTAAGCACAGCGGATAATGAACTTCTGGAATTTCTTATCATGGAAGGCTATAAAGGCAAATAGTATCAGGAGGTTCAACAACAGATGAGAACATGAACAAGTCCATTAACTGGTAATAAACAGAATAGGAAGGGATGTATCCTCTAACATCCTTAATACACTGATTGTAGGAATGTAAGGGGAATGGACCATAGACAATGGCCAGGCTTGTAGGCTCTTATACTACATAGCATCTTCTACTGCTTTGTCAGGAGTGCAGTGCTGCACTGGATAGACCACTGGCCAGACTCAGTAAGACACTTCGTATGTTCTCATATTCAAGCAAAAACGTGTAACTTAACAAATTATAAAAACGTTACAATCACCCTTTATTCAGACCTCTCTCACTTGGAGAATATTTGTCATTTCTTTTTCTCTCTCCTGCAATTTTTCAATAGTAGTCTCAAGATGTTTCTTCTTCACTAAAAGTCCTTGAACTTTTTCCTATTTAAGAACATTAATGAAACTCGGTTTAGAAAACTGCCTATTTATTGCCTCTATTCTTGTTAGACTAGTAAATTTAAGATCATAACATCATCCTGTAATAAAAGTATACTTCATATAACTCAGACGGCTGTAACAGAAAAAGGGCCTGTGTCAAGATTTAGTAGGGTTCACAGAGCTCAAAGCTGCTTGCCTCAGGAAACTTCTGGGATAAGGAGAAAAGAACACCCCCAGAGTAGGGAGTACGCGAAACATGGTATTGTAGCCCATGAGATCTTTCTGCAGGCTCAGACTTGTATATCTTTCCTATAAGGGGATGCGTATCAATTCAGTGGGTCCCATTCTTTAGATAGTACACACTGCAGTATGAAGGACACCTCACCATAATTAACACCTCACAAACAGCAAAATAATCACAACATATCTGTGAAGTAGGAAATTTATGAGACATTGTTTATTAGATCACCCATTTTGTTATATATAACCTTCCCACAAATTCCACTGCCTTTCCAGCATGATGTCATAAGCTTGGTTATCCTTTAGACAGCAAAATAAAGTCATTACAAAATAAGCCTTTACTACTAGCCCTAGTAGAGGGCTAGTATGAAGAAAGCTATCCAGTAATGAAATTATCTCTATTGTTCAAAAATTTATTGATAATTTAGCTTTAAATGTCATACACTTGGTATTCACAAGATTAGAGCTTATGTTCATCACTAAAAAACATAAGGAACATGAGGAAAGAGAATGAGTACTAGGCATAACTAAAAGTAGGAAATCTTTATACACAGAGGGAGTGGTATTTGAACAAGTGCGAAACAAGTAGCAAATGGCGAGGAATCTTAAGACAAGGAAAAACAAAACAAAACAAGCAAAACAGTGGAAAGAATCAGGTCCTTCAAAAAAAAGACTGAAATAGTCTAAAAGACAGGCGAGAAAGTGTAGTAGCAACAATATGGCAGATTAGAAAGGGCATTTAAGCTACTTATAACGTGAGAGAGGCTTCATATGACAAGTGCCATGAGACTAGTTAAAGGAACAATATTTACCAGTGTTTCTGACAGCTCTTCAAGTTGCATTTCTTGGTCACACTTTAATTTAGTCATCTCTTCTACAGCACATGCAACGTAAATTTTATTGAACAGAAATAATTTTACATATTTATCAGCCAGTATAAAGCATTTGTCCCTTCGCAGTACCCAATTTAAGACTCATTGGATTAAGTTCAGAAATCTCAAAGCTAAATTTTAACCTAAATTATGACTTAATCTAAATACTGAATTGAAAAAATTATTCAGAAAGGCACTGGTGAACACATATCTGAAGAGAAGCTAACTGTTCATCTTAAAATTCAGAGTCTATTATATTTTCCGCAAACGTGGTTTCAAGTTGTGGATTGTAAGAATGTTTACAAAGGACTAGTCTCAGAGTATTCATGCTTATGCATTTTTCCAGAAAAAGTTGGACTACTGAAGATGTTCATATGAATATGCTGAAGAAGAAACCTATTTATTAGCAAGTAAATTTGAAATGTGTTTTCTACACGCACATTCACACTACTGGTGTTTTTCACAAGTAGTGGACACCAGACTCATTTTTGCTCTAGAAGTATCACCGGTCTCATCTCATCTTGTTCCACAGAAGCATTAGCAGTAACCTTTGAGTAGTTTTACCTTTAAGTACCCTCAATACCTATAAAGACAGCAAACCATATTTCTCATCTATTATCTAGGGACTAGAGATATTTAGAGACATCTACCGCACTGGGATAACAGTGCTAAAGGTAGATCTCGATTTTGGGACTAAGGAGTGCATAACTAGAAATCATAAGATAGCAAAACAATATTTAAAGGAATGAAAGACCTGAGGTCAGATCCTGAAAGAGTCCCTGTGTCTCCTGAAATAATTGACATAAATATTGGAATGAACAATTTTTTTTTCCACTGAGCACAGGCTGGACAAATTCTGAACAGGTTAATATGTTAGCCTAAAAGTAATAAAAAATCTGAGTCTGAATGACTATCTTTTTGATCCAATACAAAGGAAGAAAAACAAAATGTGACTAAGTTTGCCATTTTTCTATTCAATTGATTTTGGAAATACTTTTAGTGTAATTTGGAGATGCTCTGTTTAAAAAAAAAACAAAAAAAACACCAAAAAACCTCAGGAGTTAGTAGTATACTCAGTATCAGAGGACCATAAGCTGCAACACAAGATACTAAAATGGGTACTACACAGGGATGGTCTATTTTCAGAAAACAGCAAAAAACATTTTTATCTTGAACAGCTCATTTGCTTTTTTTCTACAGTCTTACCTAGTTCAGCAGACTTCTTCCTGAGCTCCAAGGTAAGCAGTTTCAATTCATCTTCATATTTTTTCAACCTAAGAAAATCATAATTTTTTTTCTGTATGGTATACAGCACTAGATTTGAAAGTTTAAGGACAATAAGACAACGTCCTACCACAAGCATTTTAAATACATCTGCCTTTCAACAAGCACATGACATAACTACCTGCAACAAGTATCAAAATTCACTTACAACTCCTGAAGAACAGACATAAAAATAAACTAATATATACATACATCAACCTAGTTCTTTAAAGTGGGATTATGAAAATTAGGGACCAAAAACTTACGTTCTCATAAACCAGCATCAACCAGGGTAACTATAAAAAAATCAAATTAAATTCTCTGAATTTAGACCAGTTTGCCAAAAACAAATTTCAGCTCCATATCCTTCGGCTCTTGGATTTGTCATAACCTGCATCTACTTAGAAGATATCTTAACACAAGGTACCCAAAAATACTGTTTCTTGAAAAACTCTGTTGGATAACTTATTAAAAATACATCGTTCTGTTCCTGGATTTAGAAGGGTTGATTTTAGTTGCTATCAGGTTCTTTGACAAATACATACTTTATTTTAACTTGGGAAGACCTGAAATAATAATAGGCACCGGTATTAAATGGTACTATTATTAGGTAAGGAAGAATATAATACTAAATATTTTGTTATTTAAGAAAGACTTTCAAGTACCAAATGAGATTATTTAGCTAAGAGTTGCATCTACACATAGTCAAACAGCATAACCATCTTGAAGTGTTAATCATTCAATAGGCAGACAGGTGAAGGATTAAAAAAGAAGAATGGTTATACATTCTTTACATAGAAAGAACTTAGGTACTATAGATACTACCGATTACAAAAAAAATAAATGTTACCCCAGCTCACCCAGGAAGCTTAAGTTTTATTCCCAGAGCACAGTAATCTGACATTTTACCCAGAAAATCATTCTATGAACATAAACTGTTCAATTTACCTATTTTGTTCTTTTTCCAGCAAACTTTTGAAATTGGAAATAGAAGTTTCAAATTCATCTACCACGGATGCATGCAAAGCCTTAGTTTCTTTATATTCTTCCATCTGTGCTTCTTTTTCTCCAGTGACCTGAATTAATGCTTTCACTGCAGTCTGCAATTCAGTTTCTAAGCTCTTCTGAAGAGTCTAAAAAATAATTTTATAATTTCTAAACATGTGCTGTAAAAACCACTTACAATTAAGGTTTCATATCTGAAGTATCAGTAACTCTTTATTCAATTAGTCACATAATCTATTTATACTGGAAAATTATAAACGAGCTCTACCTCTGTTTTTTGCAACGAAATTTTAGCTTCTTCCAGCTCTGCCCTCAAACGCTCCTGATTGATCTGGGATTCCTTCAAGATTTCCCCTTCATGTCCTAAGCAAAAAGATATATGCTTACATTTAAGAAAAATAACCTGTCTACTAAAAGTACTTGCATTTCTGTGTTACAGATAAATACATTCCTACAACTGATTAAAGCTATATAATCTACTCATCTAAATTGTTTAAAAAAGATGCTTATTCACCTCATTAAATAACAGTAAGTGAAATGTAAAACAACATACATTTATGAAATTTAATGAAATGCAGCCACTCATATGTATGTTGCACAAAAATGATACCCACGCCTTCCTTCCCACTCCTCAGTCATTTTCAGTTATTCATCTGTATGATAATGATGCTGAAATTTGCTTCAGCTCTAAAGAACAAAGATACTTAAATCATATACTACAAATACTTTGTGCCTAATATAAATGGCTTAAAAAGCACTGAAAAGCTAGTGCTGAAAAGTAAGTTTCCTCAGTGATACCTGACTATACATTTGCAAAACTGAAGGAATCTTATTTTCTCTTTGCAATCTTCAAAAGCTTTCATTACTTGCCTCAGCCTGAGAACAGAAGAACCCTTCAACAACAGTTACACTTCCAGTCCCAGCCACTCCTTTGCCTTTTTCTTAATAGAATTCTATTTAAAAGCTGCAATGTTTTGGGGGGGTGATTTGGTGAAGATGCGTAAATATGTCTTGCTGAATGCAGCGCAACACTAGTATTTATGGACTACTGAACAGCTATTAGATGTTGAAGTCCCTTCACTAATTTGATGTGACATAATTCAGTCCAGTAACCAGGAACAATACTGTATCTAATATCTTATCATTTTTATTATACTAGTCCAACTGAAATGGAACAATTCCCATAATATGGGCATGGTTATACAGTGTCCTGGTAAAACTTACTCCTGTTATGGAAAAGGAAGGATGGGGTATACGGCAACTTTATAGTGGTATAAGCATGCTCACACCAGGTTTACTGATGAGCAAGAGGAGAAAAAAATCCCTCACCAAGAAACTGTCATGTCAATACGAAAACAGACTGTAGCCTAAGCCCCAAGAGAAAACCACTGATATGAAATAAGGGCCTATATTTTCACACATAAGCAGATTACATTAAAAATCCAGATCTTACATCCTCAATTTCTGATCGAAACAAGAAAATGACCTGCAGGGCCCCAAAGATCTGCTGCCGATTAGTAACAAGTTAACATTATCACAATCCTGTTTCCTGTACTTCTATAACCAATAGTATTTTAATATAGTAGAGATTAATTCTTACTTGTTGTTTCTTCTAAGTCAGCAATCTTACTTTTTGATTCCTGCAACTGAGTTTTGATATCTCTTATTATGTCATCTTTTTCATCATTCTGTATGGTCAAAACTGAAATCTAACAAAAGTGAAGTAATATTACAATGAAATCCAGACAAGATGACAGATTTGTATCTTCGTTTGTTCATTATGCATGACTAGCATTCATGCTGGTGTCATTCAATTTAAATAAGGTGGTCTTAGCCAAATATTGGTCATGTTACTCTTTAGATACAAAAGCTCTTCAGTTCAAGATCAGAACATGAGTTTCAACAGATTAAAGATACTGGAACATAACTAAAGTTAGCAGAATCAAACTCTGAAACGCAGTTCCAGCTGTTATTTTTTCCATATTTACTGATGCTCTGAAACACTCCTTGCCTCTTCGCAATGGCACATCGATCTTCAGACAAACCAACAATTCTTGACCTTCTCAGATACAGACACAGATGGAGACCCTGCTCACAAATTAACAACTCTCACCATATTTAGCTTCTTCTACTTACCTAGTCTTCCATTGTGGGTACCTCATTACCACTGCCCAAAACCTACTCTAACCTCAGACTCAAAACCTCTCTAATCAGCCCATAGTCCAACATACAATCCTCCCTCCCACCTTCCTTCTTGCCAGATACAAAGTGATTTTTAACTATAATGGCCGATGACTGCTTTGCTAATTTTATGCTTCGGCACAAGCCATTTTTATACAAGCAAACTTATGTATAAAGCACAGAATAAGGATTCAGTATTTACATGGTGCTTTTAAATCCTGTCACTGAGATATCTCTCTTTAGGATACAGCAGCCTAATTCATATTTTATTCCAAATAACATGTAAGGAACATACAGTCACAAAAGGCCATTGGCAATGGTAACTTCCATCCTTCCAAAATACAAATATTTTACAAACAATCAAGCACTTTTTAAATTATTATTTTCTTTTGATGCATCAGTAAGTCATGAAAGTAAGAGTTCAAATATTAGTTTAAGTATCTGCAAGACTTGTTTCAAGAATTAAGACAAACCTGTTTTTCCTTCATACTGACTTCCATTTTGTATTCTTTTTCAAACTTGTCCACTTTTTCTTTTTCTTCTTTTACTTTTGAGATACAGTAATATCAATAGTTAATACACTACTAAAATACACTTCAAGTTAAATGCAATCTCTATTTTAAGATTACTTATATTTGTACAGCTGTACAATTTATTTCCTAAAAATTAATTGCTGAGGTCGTGTTTGAAATTGTTACCCTATCAGACAAAATATTTTTTGCAGTTTTCCACAGAATTAGCCCATTATGGCATGTATTACTTGATAGATTATTTTAAGAAATTGAGAGATGCATGTGCAGAAATGAAACAGGTGCCTCATAGCATAGAAAAATACTGAATTAAAATTTCTGCAGCTATACACTAGTGCATTATCAGTTTAATAAAACAACTATATAAAATAAGCACGGATCTATAGACTATACTTTGTAAACAAAACTAGAAGTTTTAGTGATTAGAAAAATAAGGTTCCAAAACTGACTCAGGAACATCAGTGGAAAAATAATAAAATGGCCCAGTCCTCTAATGGCAGACAGCATGAAGCAAGCCAGGCATGCAAGCTCATTAAATTAGTTATGATACTAATGGCACAATTCATTGGCTATAAAACTTAAACCAGAATACATCTATGAGGAAACCTGAGTCATTGCAGTAAATTTACCTATCCTCGGAAATTTGAGAGACCCATCCCAAATGAAGGGAAACTGAGGCATCATCAAGCCTGACACAAAAAACTGACAACACCGTACGAAATTTTTAAACTTATTTTAATAGGATAAAGCGCAGGTGAGATATGTGAGACAAGAGATACCCTTATTAAAGTACCTCCCTTTTTAAAGCAACAGAATTCAGCTGACCATATTCAGCAACTGTTCCTTTAAAATAAACAGCTAGAAAGCGCATTGGACACGTTATTACCACGCAGTGATGCTCCAGGACACAGTCCACAAAACAAGTATCACAGCGCTAACAGTGCACCATTCTAGCACACCTTATCCCTCTGGCCTGAAAGTGCATGCAATGAAATATGTGAAGTACAAAATTGTTATGTCTGCAGCATAAATACAGTAAGCAGGACTCTCACATTTGAAACACATTTCCAGTCTGGTGTTCTCTGCTTGCACACGAAGTTCTTCAAATGCCATTATCATTCTCTAAAAATAACATTCAATATATACATTTTATATAAAACTTAAGTACTTTCTATAATGAAGAATGATGTTTATGGTTTGAAAACAAACGGTATTATGAGTTCCTATTCATATCTGCAGGATTAAAAAAAACAAAAAACTAAATTCAGAGCGCAAACATATTTTGAATTAAAATATGGTAATTATTAGAAGATGGATGTTTAAAAAGTTCTATACTCAAGACGTATATGATTTCAGAGATGAGATATTTTTACTGGTCCATGTCCGTAAATCCCTAGCACAATGGAGGAGACGTTGTGCATTTCCTAGCTGCTGCAACAATCTATAATTAATATTTAACTGTTATACTGTGTGCTCTCTGATTCTGCTTCATATCAAATTCATCACGCCCACACAAAGATGCCTCACATTTCTCAATTATAAATATACAAGGGCCTCATTTTCCACACTGGAATAATTAATAACAAAAATATAATGGATGGATGAACGTATTTGCAAGATTGCAGCTGTTTTATGAATTAAAAAGGAGAAAAAAATCCTCAAGTCAAGGAAGCAAATTTATTAAAGACTTAATAGTCACACTTTATACTTCTTATTCCACATGTAATCATCAGTTTCCATCATTTTGTTGCTGCTGCATCATACTCAAAATTGAAATTAATTTTCTTTGATCATCTTTACGCAAGTATACTACACTTTTTGTTAAAGGAAAACATCCAACAAAATAACTGTAATATGTCTGATCCCCATCATAAAAGATCTGTGTGCCTGAATTTCACCTAAGACTATTTGTAGATCTGGGTCTAAGTCCAAAGGTACAGTTCTCCAAAGCGCTGTTTAATCCCTAAATGCCCAATTTCCTACGACTTCTAAAGCTCTATTTCTGCAAATGCCGAGAATGTTTCAATCCTGCCAAGGCTGAAGCATCTGTATTATACATATGTTTAAATATATATGTGTTTACCTACATGTGTATATACATACCTTTACATATATAAATAAATATGCATAATATATACACAAATTATACAAACGGGGCTCTGCAGAAAAAAATAGCAGGACTGACTTGATTCTGGTTCGGAGACAATAGCCGAGTACGTTATTTCACTACAGCATGAGATCTACATTCAGTTTCTTCCTCCACCTGAAGTGTCAATACTCAGTTCCCACCTTCCAGGAAAATACCCCAGTGAATCCCCCTCAACTCTCTCGCTGAAGCTGTCTCAATATGCAGACAAGACCTTAAGGGCAAGAGCAATGGGCACAAACTGAAACACGAGAAATTCCATTGAAACGTAATAAAAAACTTTCTTTACTGTAAGAGTGTTTGAACACAGGAACAGGTTGCCAAGAAGCTACCATCCTTGGAGATATTCCATCCTTGGAGATATTCAAAACCTGACTTGACACAGACCTCAGCAACCTGCTCTACCTGACCCTGCAGGGGGTTGGACTAGATGATCTCCAGAGGTCTCTGCCAAACTCAACCATTCTGTGAAATCAGTAGATGAGTGAAAAGGAGTACAAAGAGAGGAAAGACTGAAGTTATGGAAGTCACCAAAGACTAAAGTAGGTCTACATGCTCCTAAGGACTGTTAATGCATTTTATCCAATAAATGTGTTGCATGCAATATAAAAACAATACTTTAATAGGGACTGAACATCAGAGTTCCTGCATCCCAAATGAGGACTCTAATCACTTTTTCAGATAATTTTCTTTGTATGAATAATATCTCAACATATACATATAACTCAGATCACATGCTGAATTTTACCAAGCTACATCACTTACTTCAATGTTGTTATTAAGTTCTACATAGAGTTGTCTCGTTTCTTCTCTTTCACGTTCATCTATTAAAAGAACAATGTACCATAAAGTTTTCCTTTTGAAAAAAAAGAACTTCAGCTGTCCAAGCCATTCTGCTTAAACAGCATAATGAATTAAAAAAGGAATTATATACTCTTTTCTTATTTTAGCAAGTCACTGTGAAATACACTGCGCCAGAAGTTATATAAACCAAAGAAAATGTGTATTCCATTGAAATATTAAGCAAGCTCAGCTTTTATAACTTTCTTCCCAATCTCACTTTTTCCAGGAGGAATGCCTGTATCAATTTATATAAACATTAATTTTAACACTATTAATGCTGTTGAATAATACTGTACCAAAGACGTTAGTGAGCTTGAAAAGCTGTAATATAAGGTTCAGTATTGAGTTTCTTCACATCAGCAGACACCTCTGACCACAGAACTATCATTATAGAACTGCTACCACGATACGTTATCTCCACCTTTTTAACAATTTCAGTTTCATAACTGATGATACTATTATTCCTCAAGAGAGTAATTCAGAATAATTCAGAATTCAGAACGTAACAGTAAGAAAGAGTTAATCAAGAAGTACAGTACATCTATATACAGGTGTCTGCAGAAGCAAAGCAAAAAAAAGGCAGACACTTCTGAGATATCTAAGATGAAACAGGTATAAGACTTTAAAGATTAAAATAACAATTCTGAAATTACTAAAGATTAAAATCCCAATTCAATAATGTATTTTAAAACTTCAAAAACCTAAGTTTCATTTACTCATTCAGTTTTCTGGGGTTGGTCAATTTAGTGTAAAGAATGCTAGTTGCTCATTGTGTCTTGGGCTTTGGGTTTCTGTTCCAGACATGGTAATGCCATTTCCTCTAGTCTGTTAAAGAAAGAGCTGGAAAAGGTAACTGGAGTGGATTCAGCTGCCTAAACACAGGCATGAAACGCCATCTGACGTGACCTAAGATATCCAAGCTACCTGGATGGGACTGACAGATGTGACAGGACTTCAAAAGATTTGCACTCTTCTGGAGTGGTTGCTAGTGGTTAAGCAATATTGCTCACAGTAGCTAAACCTGTATCAGAGTTTAGGCAATTAAATTCTCCCACTCATATAACCTTTTAGCAAACAATCACACTGACTTTAGAAAACCTTTGAATTTAGCACTACAAAACACACAGATACTTGACTTCCACTTTCAATGTCTAAACTTCACTCTGATGCACCGAGCCAGATACAGTTTATCCCAGATGGAAAATAACTCAGAACAGAATGACAGTTTTTCAAAATCAAGATTTAAATAGCATTTACATTTGGTGGACTTCTCTGTGAAATGAGTACAGGTTTCCTTGAGCAGATTACACATATGCCTTGAAGCACTGTTTCTGAAAGAAGGGAAAAATACCTTAATATGTTGTCACAGGGATACACAGTACTTTGCAGACGTAAAATAGTGACAATGAGAAAGCTTGATGAGCTTTGCAATTTCATACCTAATTTTAACCGCCCATGTTAACAGTTCTTAGCAAGGAAACTTTCTTTTTACAAAAAAAATTTAATTGTATTACTTACTCTTTTAAAAGGTCTTTATTTTCACATATCTCATCTTCAAGTTTTAAACTTAATTTTTCATTTTCAAACTAATTGTATAGGGGACAAGTACAAAAAGATAGTTATTGAAAAATATACCAGAAATATACTTTCACTTTTCAAGTCTCACATTAAAATAGCTTTTTCTGCATTAGAAGATAGAAATCCTTTTTTTCTGAAATTACACGCTGAGCAATCTTTTGTTACAGTTTGCTTGAAAAGATAACAAAAACCCAACAATTTACCATCAACTGAAATACTTAAGGTGTGTTATCCATATGTATATTCACCCATTGTGTGCGTGTGCACACGCACACCCCTTCTCAGAATAACATTTTCTTAAGGCAAAAGTCAAAGACTCAGGTTATCAAAGCCAATGCCAACAGAAAACAAGGAAAAGGGTTGATAAATTGCTTAATATGTATGTTCCAATAACAAAGATCTCCATCAATACCAGCCAGATAAGAAACTGGGATAGAGTAGAGTGTACTACTTCCTGCGTATCTTGGGGGTGGAAATATGCATGAGCTTACTTTAAGACACCAGGGAGACAGAAGCTTATGCAATCTTGAGTAGGTCTATGCATCTCCACAGTATGATGTGCACGCTAATAATTCAAAGATGGAATGCACATGCTTAACAGGAGGAAAAAAATTCTAAGAAACAAAAAAGGTAGTTTTTCCTTTAAAAACTGGAGAACCATGGGTCATTGACACCTAGCCAACCAGCTTCTTTGAAGTCTTCATATGAACAGCTTAAAATGCCTTCTTCAAGTTCTATAACATTCTTTAATATTTAATTGTATGAATAATATGTTCAAACTAATTCAAGAAGATCTTTCTCTTAATACAGGTATTCTACACATATAGTACAATACTGGCCTGCAATTCTTGAATGGCTTTACGCTGTGCTTCAATAATCTTTCTGTTTTCCTGTAATTTTCTCTCTCTCTGCTTCAGTTCTGATTCTACAGTTACTTTCCATCGCTTGATCTTCTCAGCCTCTTTGTAGAGTTTTGAATACAATTCATTCATTGTTTCTATATTCTATTAAAAATTCATAATTCAATATCAAATGCTATTTAGTTAACATTTTAAATATACCTTTATCTCAGAAGCATCAAAGAAAGTTTAATTTTTTTCCCCACAGATGGTGGCACAAGCTTCTATATAACCAAAAAACAAATTTAATCTTTGTGCATTCACTGTGCATGCATCAACGGACATTATAGAATAACTAAAGGACACAAATGCAATGCAAATGAGTGAAAAATACCCCACTGGATAGTCTGAGAATCACACATAACTGCAATCTACCAGTTTTGCTATTATTATTTTTGCACCACATCCCACTTCTCATTCTGACAGATACTGCTGGGTTAAGTGAGTCAGGCTTCAGAGATTATGTATAAAACTTCCTATGAGGTGTTTCTGCAGTTTACTCACCTACAAAGCAAGGAGGAAAAAAAAAAAAAAAAACAGCCAAACTTGGGCCCCTGAAAGATCTTTAAAGCACTGTACAAGCAGTGCTTGATCAGTGGCTTTGAGAAGTTAAGAGTAGAACGATAGGCCACAAGGCAGTTCTGTGGTAAGTTTTAGGTATGATGTCACCTAACGCTATCCTTTTTTCTGGCTGCATCATGATATTATTACAATCATGACTGTACTTTAATAGCTGCTAGGGGTAAAAAGTTCAGTCCTCAGGGAGATGAAAGTCATTAACAGGACAGTAAGAAATACGTTCAATTTTATTGCAGTGACCAGCATTCCAGTCAGTTACTGCCAATAGTTAGCTTTACTGAGAGTTACAATAAAGCAGAACAATTTCAATAAAAAGACCAAAAGAAAAAACAAATGCTTGAGGAAGCCACTCCACTAAATTCATTGATTTGTAGACATAATAATGTCAGAAAAGACAAGTGGGATAATTTTCCTAAGACTTCTCCAATTTTAACCCTTGTGCTCTTCAACAGGTTTTTCAGAACCAGGTTCATAAAGACATTTAAGATCCTAAATCTTATTCTAATTAATCTTAAAACTCCCAGCCTCCCCAGGCACTTAAAAAAAAAATTAAAAATTGCCTTAATATCTAAAGGTTTACCTCTAGGTGTGTGCACTGAATCTTAAGCACCTTCTCTAAATGATACAGCTTTAAAGAGGAGATACAGAAGATGATTCTTCCCCTTCCTCTACTTCCTCTAGCCTAAACTATCCACAGGATGCTGCTTATGGAACTGTTTTGGGAACAGATTAAATATTAGGAGGCTCTAAGAAATTAGATATGCAAAGTGTTTACTTAGCTGACCTCTTCATCTATCTCAGACCAAAGTTTTACTGGCTGTGAGATCGCATCTGAAACATGGAGAGATTTCGATAAATCTACTTCAAAAAAACCAAGTGCAGCCATATTTAACAGAGTAACAGTTATGACACTGAAAATACTCATGGAAAAATATACAAGATAGCAAAAAAAAAATTTTTTTTTTTAAGTCATGCAAGATTAATGCTTAGTTTAGGCTTACCTGAATCAGTGATTTCACCATGGTTCGGTGTACTTGTCATTACATAGGGCAAATTAAAATCATCACCTGGGCATTTGTTAAAACCCTGGATAAATGTAAAAATTAGTTTCTCATGGGTAAATTTGAAAAGCAGGATTACAAATCCCAGAAAAAAAGTATAGAGCTAATGTGAAAATAGAACTTCCCATTAATAAATCAACTATGTACTATTTTAAAAGCCCTAGATATTGGCAAAGCTTTGGAACTCTCCCGTTTGCTTCTTAATTCACAGCAGCTTTTAGGTCTGTCTGTAGCTTGCTTTATACAGTACTCTGTGGCCAAAGAAGCGGCTGTTTTTCATTACAGTTATTAACTTATTAGCTATTACATGCCTGTTCACAATTGTACAGTAAAGGACTCAATAAGCCAAGTGATTTTTTCAAGTCCAGTATTCACGTTTATTTTTGTTTTTTTCCCCCCAATAGTATTTTCTAAAACAGATCTGATGAAATTTTAGCATGAAAATTTCATTTTACAAGGTGTCCTAAAAGTTACAGAAATTTGTCTTGTAAATAGCGGAATTGCCCCCTGTCAGAGAGTCATCCTATCTGCATCTAAGCATATTCAAAAGGGAACCTCAACATGAAAAAAGAACTTTTTGAATTCAGAGAATTTAGTGCCCAGTGACAGAACACCTCCACTCTACGCTTGATTGTGGTGGGAGCAACAAATCCAAGTGAGTAAGAGTGAGATGCGTCCTTTGCAACTTATTGTTCTGAATTACCCACATCAGGCATCTAGTTATTTGTCGTTGGTGGTGAACAGTTAAAATACATAGAAAACAGCCGAGAAGATGAGTCTTTTCGGGTGTGACAGAAAGAAAGTAAAAATATTGGTTATCAAAATCGAAAAAGCTCGCCCCCCTGCCAATCTTAACAGTTTGCAGTAAAACACTTTCATGCAGGTGCTCTCCAGGGGCGAGGCTCAGGGCTCGGCCTGGGCGATTTCGCCCGTGCCACCGCTGCGCCGGCGGGCAGCCCCC